AAGAAGAAGAAGAAGAAGAAGAAGAAGAAGAAGAAGAAGAAGAAGAAGAAGAAGCAGCAGCAGCAATCCAATCGAGTTTATAGGCACTATATTATCACATAATTTGCAATACATTCACACTATATAGTAGTTAGCTATATGTAGTCTAGTCTGGAGTTTGAGCTCAATTTGAGTCTCTTTTTAAAAACTAAGATGTGGCCTAGTAAGGTTGCCCCACCCCTTGGGGGAAGGTGATCAAAGAGCCACCAACTGAGTTCATGTCAGAGACAGCCCCTGTTCCCCTCACTAGGGAACCCACTTGGAGACTGAGCTGCCATGGGGGGCAGCCTTGCCAGGCCACAGAGGAAGACAATGCAGCCAGTCTTGATGAGTCCTGATAGGCTACAGTCAGATAGAAGGGGAGGAGGACCTTACTTATCTAAGTGGACTGGGTGAGGGGCACAGGAAAGAGAAGAGGGAGGGAGGGCAGGATTGGGAGGGGACAAGGGCAGGGGATACAGATGGGATACTCAGTGAATAAATTATAATAAATAAAAATAATTAAAATTAAAATAAAAAACTGAGATGTCATTTGTGTATCATAATAGTCATCATTTTAAAGTATAGAGACCAATAGTTTTTAATATAGTAAAAAAAACAAAAAAACAAAAAACCCCCAAACTTCTGCAGTCATCACCACTATCAAATTCCAGAACATTGACAAAATTCCAGAAAGTACATACATATTCGTAGTTACACCCACTCCTTCACTCTTCTAGGCCTTGACTACTATTATGCTTTCTATTCTTATGAGTTTCCCTGTTCTAGGCATTTCATATAAAGGGAATCACACAATATATTACATTTCTGTACTGGCTTCTTTCACTTGGAAATATATTTTAAAGGGCTATCCAATTGCAGCATCTAAGAGTACTCCATTCATTTTTATAGACAAATAATATTCTCTCATATGGATAAATCATGTTTTGATTTTTTTATATATTAGATGATGGGCTTTGGTTGTTTCACTCTTGGTTACTATGAATATTGCTGCTGTGAAAACTGGTGTGCATGAATATTTGAATGAGCACATCTTTTATTTTATTCAGTACATACCTAGGAGTTGAATTGCTTGATCAGATGGGAACTTTACATTTGACTCAGGAGGAAATGGCAAACTATTTCCCAAAGCAGCTGCACCATTTTACATTCACACCAGCAATATATGAGGGATTCAATTTCTCCACATCCTGGCAGTCAGTTGCTACTTTCCATTTTGTTTGTTTGCTTTGTATTATTATAGCTATTCTAGTGTGTTTATTTGGTTTGCTTTTCCCTAATGGCTAATGATGTTGGATGTCTTTTCATGTGCTTACTGGCTATTTGTTTATCGTCTTTTGAAGATTCTTTGTCTTTTCAGTCTGCTGATGGGGTTGTTTTTAGCCCTAAAGGCTTAAATTTAGATGAAGTAACATTTATCTGTATTGGTTGCTTGTGATTTTGCTGTCATCTTAAAAAAAAAAAAATCCTGTTGTCTAATCTAAGTCATCTCAGATTTACATGGATCTTTTCTTCTAAGGCTTTGTTATTTTGATACTTACACTTAGATGATTGATCCATCATCAGTTCTTTCTTTATTTATTTAGCCCAAGATCTCACTATGTAGTCCATGGTGGCCTTGAACTTGCTATGAACTCACTATAATGATCCTCCTGCCCCTACCTCTCAAGTGCCTAGTTTGAATTTTTTAATGTTGTAAGATAGGTTTCTTTTTTTTTTATTAAATTTTTATTTTTTATATTAATTACAGCTTATTTATTTTGTATCCCAGCTGTTGCCCCCACCATCATTCCCTCCTAACTTCAACATACCTCCCTCATCTCCTCCCATTCCCCTCTCCAAGTCTACTGATAGGGGAGGTCCTCCCCCCTTCCATCTGACCCTAGATTCTCAGGTCTCATCAGAACTGGCTGCAATGTCCTGATCTGTGGCCTGACAAGGCTGCTTCTCCCTCAGGGAGATGTGATCAAAGAGCCAGCCCGAGTTCATGTCAGAGACAGTTCCTGATCCTCTTACTAGGAAAACCTCTTGGATACTGAGCTGCCATGGGCTACATCTGAGCAGGAGGTCTAGGTTATATTCATGAATGGTCTGTGGTTGGAATATCAGTCTCAGAAAAGACACCTGGGCCCAGATTTTTTGGTTTTGTTGCTCTCCTTGTAGAGCTCCTATCCTCTCCAGGTCTTGCTATCTCTCCCTTCTTTCAAAAGATTCCCTGCACTCTGCCCAGCGTTTGGTAATGAGTCTCAGCATCTGCTTTGATATACTGCTGGGTAGAGCCTTTCAGAGGCCCTCTGTGGTAGGCTCCTGTCCTTTTACTTGTTTTCTCCTTCTTTCAATGTCCATTCCATTTGTCTTTCTGCATGAGGATTGATCATCTTACCCAGGGTCCTCCTTCTTGCTTAGCTTCTTTAGGTGTACAGATTTTAGTATGTTTATCCTATATGTCTAATATCCATGTATAAGTGAGTATATACCATGTGTGTCTTTCTGCTTCTGGGAGACCTCACTTAGGATGATCTTTTCTAGATCCCACCATTTGCCTGCAAATTTCATGATTTCCTTGTTTTTAATTGCTGACTTCATTTCTCGTGCATGTGGGGATGAAGTTCACCCAAAAGTGTTTGTTAGGATTATGCTTTCTTTGCTAAAATAAGTTGGCTGTAAATATACAAGCTTATTTCTAGAGGGCTTTTTCCCCCTCAAGTTTGAGCATTTGCTGTACTATTTGCGAGCAAGTATGACCTTGGACAAATTACTTTTTTCATAATGATAGTACTTATTTTTAAAATAAGACTGTGAAAAAAATAATTGGCATTGTAATGATGCTTAGATAGTCATAGAGGTAGGGAAAATGGAGGATAGTTGCAGACATGCTGAAGCACGACTAATGAGAATCAGGAGCCCTAATAAATGAGAAATGAATAAACAAATGCTTGAGGAACTTTCAAAAACTATTCATTCCCTCAAAATGGCTAATGACATTTCTCTGTTATAGTAAACTAAAATAGACTGGAGTGCCAGGCATGGAAGTGCATGCCCACCATCCCATCACTTGAAAACAGGAAGATCAGGTGTTAGAGGTCAGCCTCAGTCTGACATCAGCGATCTTAACTAACTAATCTATATATTAACTGATTGCAGTTCTGTGAAAATAATATAAGATGTAGCTTATTTACATAATTTTCTGTATTTTGTCTATCTTTTCTGTTATTTTCTTTTGTTTGTTTGTTCTTGGTGTTAGACTTTACTGTTAAGGACTCCTCGAAGGGTCCTTTAAGAGTTATGAATAACTCTCTTCAGGTAATGAATGTGAATGGCACTCACACACTGCTGACATTTCTAGGAGGTCCAGAAGCCTCTAGTTAACATTCCTAAGGCAATTGTGACCCAGAATGTGTTTCACCAAGTTTAATTTCATAGTGGGATTTAAGGGTCATATTGATTTGGGAATACATTTTCTGGATTCATATGAAATTGAAGAGATATTTCTCTATACAGAAGAGTTTATACAGCACCCTCTTCAGGAAGGGGAGCTGTGGCACCTTAACTGATTTTATGTAAGTGTCACCATGTAGATGTGACTGTCCTCAATGCTTCTGACCAGCCTAGGTAGTTTTCAACACACACATTGTGGAATGCTTGAAACTCTGAAAGGGGTTGAAATAGAAGTACAGTGTCAAACGGTGATAGTTCCGGAGGAAGGAGTCAGAAAGGGGCAGGCAGGCTCAGAGGGACACAGAGACACAAAAATAGAAGCGGAAGAGGGCCATTTAGAAACTCTTTTGTAAAGAGTCAAGATAACTTCAGTGGAAGAGGTGAGATGATTAAAGAGAAGGTGTAGGGGGAAAAGTACAGACATTGGCATGAGACTGATTTCTGCTCTGGGTTTATGTTTCTGATCGGCTTGCTAATGACTCTGAACCTTGTTTTCCTAAGTATATGTATGACAGGCCTAGTAATAAAACCGTATTCACAGTCCTGAAAGAATTTAATGGAATAATGTACATTTTTTTGTTTGTTTTGTTTTTTTCTCATGCAAGTGCTTAGAATGAAATTATTGCAGGCAGGAGTGAGCTAGCTTGAAATCTAGCCTTGTTTTCCTTCCACTGGATGTAAAATAAGAGCAGCCCTTATATCTTGCCTTGACTGGAAATAGAGAATAATGTTGGAGAATAAGGACTGAGAAATTTGTAGGGACTCCAACTCATCACAGTCTCAGAGAAGAGATGTCAGTGGAGAATTTAGGACAGGATGAGCCATACCAATTGTATGAGCTGTAATGGTAATGTTAATCAGGAAACTGAGACACAGAGGTGGTCATTTGCTTCTATTTATTAGTGAAGGAAAAATAAAGATCTCAGGCAAGTGTCTAAAATATGGTCTGAAGGAGAGTGGGGTGTAGAAAGGCTTCCTGATTAATTTCCCAGTAATCCCTGTTTCTTAAGCATCCCTGGAGAGTCTATCAGGCTGCAAGTCTCCATTGGTTACAATATAATTATTTTATAATCACTTTTCCTTTGGAAATGCTTAATGAGTCTTACTTTGTCTTACTTGCAGGTGAAAGCCAAGCCTCTGTGGTTCTTAATGCCTCAGCAGGATTATTTTCACTAAAGATGGAAACACTGGAGTCTGAATTGACCTGTCCAATCTGCCTTGAGTTGTTTGAAGACCCCCTTCTGCTCCCTTGTGCTCATAGCCTGTGTTTCAGCTGTGCCCATCGCATCTTGGTTTCAAGCTGCAGCTCCGGTGAATCCATTGAACCCATTACTGCTTTTCAGTGCCCTACATGCAGGTATGTTATCTCGCTGAATCACCGGGGCTTGGATGGCCTCAAGAGGAATGTGACCCTGCAGAACATTATTGATCGCTTCCAAAAGGCTTCAGTCAGTGGGCCCAATTCTCCAAGTGAGAGCCGCGGGGAGAGGACTTACAGGCCTAGTTCCGCCATGTCTAGTGAGCGAATTGCTTGCCAATTTTGTGAGCAGGACCCTCCAAGAGATGCTGTGAAGACATGCATCACGTGTGAGGTTTCCTACTGTGACCGTTGCCTTCGGGCCACACACCCTAACAAGAAACCTTTCACCAGCCATCGCCTGGTGGAACCAGTTTCAGACACACATCTTCGAGGGATTACTTGCCTGGACCATGAGAATGAGAAGGTGAACATGTACTGTGTATCTGATGACCAATTGATCTGTGCCTTATGCAAACTGGTGGGTCGTCACCGAGACCATCAGGTCGCTTCTCTGAATGATCGATTTGAGAAACTAAAGGTAAGCAAAATTCCCTTCCTCTTTCACAATGTTCATTTAATACATAGTTGTACAGTCAGCAAGCTTTCCAGTAAACTGGACCACTTTTTCTACAGGTCAAGTAAGTCAACTTCAAATTGTTTTCATAGGGAATAACCTACTCACTGCAAGTTTTCCCTAGAACTTATCTATTACACAAACCTGCTAGCATTTATGTGTTTCTGTTCAATTCTGGGCAAGTAAGCTCAGGGGTCACCTCACCAGGGTAATAGCAGTCTCTCTCCTCTGTAATACATTGCACATTACATATCTTTGCTATGCATGATCTTTCCACCTTGACTTTTCAGTATGTGAATACCTGTGTAGGTGTACTGCAATTAGCATATGTACTAATTTGCATACATTTGGGTGGGTCTCTGTGGAGGTGTGGGTGTCAGTGTCTGAGTGTACCTATGTAGATGAGAGATTTGTGGAGGACATTAGTATAGGTTTGTGTTTGCAAAGTCTGGGGATGTGACTCAGTGGTAGAGTGCTTGCCTAGCAAGCAACTGCCAAGTCCCTGGATTCTAGCTCCAGCTCTGCAAAAACAACAAAATGCCTCCTCAGTACTACAAAGAAACCAATGTTTGACATTAGTCATTGCAAATTGCTGTTGAGCACTTAACTTAGAGCTAATTCTTATATCAATAAATCACAAAAGCAGGAGGTATAGTCGCACAGCTGAACTAAAAATTTAAACTGAAAGCAATGAATATTTAACCTAGTATTTGATTTTGTCAGGCTCCATCTTACAGTTTGCCAGTCTTTTGTTTTCAGTGGGTATTTTTGTGAAGTTAAGTTAAATAATATTTATTTGCAAGTCCAAGTGCCTACTTTGAAAGTCCTTTTACCTCACTTTGATGTTCACAAATGTCAGATCTAGCACTCTGTTGGATTCTTGTTGTCTTCTTGATATGTGGTATACTTTTTCTCAAAAGAAGGAAGCTACTTAGCATAGATTCCAGACAAGTAAAATGTTTAGTGCTAACTTTGGTAGCACATAAACTAAAATTGGAATGATATAGAGAAGATTAATTAGCATGGCCCCAGTGCAAGGGTGATATGCTAATTTGTGAAGCATTCCATATTTTTCCAAATTTGGAATATTATTGTATGGAAAAATTATTTTTAATTAGAAAGTTTAAATTTGGTAATGTCTAAGGACTCCCGGAGGACTAAAACCTGTAGTGTACGTTAGATTCTGTTATATAAAACTTAAATGTTTAATTCCCCACATTGTTGTATAATTTAAAATAATTGTTATTTCTACAATGGATATTATATCATCACACTTTTAATTGCATTGTGTTCATTACGAAATAAAGTATTCAAATGAATAGTAAGATTGGCACCCCCAAGTAGAGTATGTGTACATAAGCCAGGCTAGAAGAAAGGCTCAGATAGCATGGAGGAGGGGTGAAGCAAGAAGGCAACCGAGGCTTTCCTTCTCTTATAATTTGGTAAACTTGTTCAAATTTGCATGAAAATTATTAATGTTGGTAAGGGTAAGGGCACTCAGAATAGGGGACATTTTCATGTCTGTAATTTACTGCATACTATTGTATAGTTAGAGTGTCACAGTAACAATGGTTTGTACCTCTTTTGATAATTATTTGTTTCCAATATGTAACCTGTCAGCTTTTTGGTTATAAGCAAGTGTATACCTAATGTATGTAAAAATCAGTCTTTTGATTTTAGCGAAAATGAAACTTTCATTCTTGTAATGCTGTAGAGGGGAATGTTAGTGACTTAAATTCTTAGAGTTATCAAATTGTTAGGCCATGTACCTGGTCTAGTTAAATCCTTGTACCTTAAAGTTTTATAAACCGAGACTTCTTAGACCAAGTGATTTGGTTAATGTTAATAGACCTGTTTAGTAATTGGGCTGGAGATGAAAACCAGTCTCCAGGTAGAGTCAACTATCTTTTTTTCCCTGTTGTCAGCTCTTACACTGTTGTTTCCTCTCTGAACTTTAACTTTATGCCCCAGGAGCTACACATTCAGTACGTCATGGTATGTGATTAGCAGCATAAAGAAAAAGGACATAATTATATAACTTTCAGCTTCACAATGGCAAAAGATGGGGAGTGGATTGTAAGAAGTGTGAGGAATATGGAGAAGGTGGAACAATCACTGCCAAATATTTTTAGGTGTTAGGATCATAATAAGGCTTTGGCCATGAAAAATATTTCACACAGAAATACCAATATCCATATGTACTGCTGAGATAACAAAGAAACTGTGGAGAGTAAGCCTATATCTACAGAACAGTGGCTACTTCAAAATAGCTGAAAACATGGGATGATTGATCAGACATTTGGCATCATACAGCTATAGTCCCTGTTTCTAGGGCTGGAGAAACACAAGTGTATTTTATAAGAAGATGCCTTAGTCTGTGACTAATTGGTAATTTTTGAAGAAAAAGTGGCTATATTTTTGATAGCTTCCCTTTAATTTTTAGAAATGTGCAGAAACGTTTGTTTATGAATTAAGTGGAAACTATTTTTGCTCATTTTTGGATAGAGACTGGAAACATCTGAATCATTCCAAACTGTGTGGTTTGTTATGTTGTCTGGAACATGTAGGATTTCGGAAAGGAAAAGGAAGTGCTGCGTGTGTGTGTCTGTGTGTGTGTGTAAGAGAGAGGGGGAGGGAGGAAAGGAAGGCAGGGGAGAGAGGGATAGGGAGGGTAAGAGGAAGGAAAAGAGGTGGGTGGAGACACAAGGGGTATTTACTCCACCCAGTGCCAAGTAGGAAAGATATTAGTTCACATTAAACAGAGAAGCCTGATTTAATCTCCTATTCACATACTTCTTTACATTGATTTAAAATTAAAAAGCATTTATGATTATTCACCTTGATTCCTTGATTTTTTTTCCTATAGAGAACGGAGAAAGATAGCCAGAAGCTATGGGGGAGATGACCTAATCATATTCCCCTGGCCCTGAGAGGAACAGGAAGTTCTGTCAGAAAAGGGAAAGAATGATAATGTATACTTCTTCCATACACGCTGACTCACACAACACACATACAAACACACTGACTTTTATAGTCAATAACTGATGCAATGTTTTTTTTTTTTTTTTTTTTACTTTTGTATTTAACCTCCTTGTCTAAGATTAATGACCTGTAATGTTGTTCAACAAAAACCAAACAACCCATTATAGTAAAGAAAAAGGTTGGAGTAATTGGAAGCTAGCTTCTTTTTTGAACATGTCCTCAAAATAGAGTTAAGGACATGGAAGGTACTTATATAACATTTTATACTGTTATTTCTTTAGTATGCTTATAGGATTAAGATTCAGGAAACACAATCTTCAGAAGATTACAAGCGGTTTAATTAATTCAAAGACTACTCATGGTCCTGAGAGTTACACATACCTTACTTCATGATATATGCCACAGTTCTTGTAAAACTGCTTCACATTTCAGAATTTCTATAACAGTTCTTTCTTTTATAAAAAACCAATATTATTATATTATCAAATGTTGGTTTTATATAAAGAGGCTAATTTCAGTGGCTCTCTCTTGCTGATAGAAATGAGATTGATATTCTGAAATCTGCTTTTTATCATTTGCTGCTCATTTACATTTTTCCCTCTCAACTATCAAGTTTGTTAGCTTCATCTACTCAGATAAGCTATCTAAAACATCTAGTTTTTGTTTGTTTTTTTTTTTTTCTGTCTACTTTCAACCAGTGTTCTTCCCTTGGCCTGCTTATTGGGAACTCTAACCAATTTTTTTTTAGAGCTCAAGCCAAACCCCACCAGTCTCCTCCAACACACCTCAGAGACATCGTAAATTCCTTGAGGCCAGATACAGTGTCTGTGTTTCTTCAGTATCCTCCTTTGTGTCTGTCAAGCACGTGCACATAGTACCTCTTTAAGAAATTCAAATAATCCAGGACAGCCAAGGCTACACAAAGAAACCGTGTCTTGAAAAACAAAAAAGAAAAAAAAGAAAGAAAGAAATCCAAATAAATTAAGTATTCATATTGGTGTGAGTTTTTTGTTTGCTTGTTCTATTTTGGGTTTAATTTTTTTGATACAAGGCAAGGTGTGTGCGTGTGTGAGTGTGTGTGTGTGTGTGTGTGTGTGTGTGTGTAACACAGGCTGACCTTGAGCATGATCTTCCTGAATTTGATTCCTGGTGCTAGGATTATAAGCCAGAGCTACTATGCACAGTGTTATAATTATGTTGTAGGAAGTATACTAGTGCACATAGCTTGATTTTGTTCTCATCTTAGTAGATACAAATCAGTCTTGTCATTATGAATACTTTGGAAGTCTATAAATGCCTCCTGTGAACTACTGACAATTTTCAAAACCAGTTCATGAGCAAAAGTATGACATGTCCTTAATTTTAAGTGCCTATTTATTTTGATTACTGGATTTTCCAACTGCCTAACCTTATGGTGACATTTGTATAAATCAGATGTGATTCTTATAATTCTCTTTGAGAGTGATGTCTTCACATTTCCATGCCCACAGCCTGCCAAAAATATAGCTGATAAAAACCAGGAGGAATAGAGGAATTTCCTTAAAAGGATGAACAAGCACATTTTCTTTTTCTCGTTTAATTTTCTCTAATTCAACACTACAAATACATCTTAAATAAATCTACATTTACATATCAAGAGTCTTGTTACAATATATTATCTGCAACTAGATTAAGCTTCTTTCATTGGAAAATAAAATCCATACACACACACACATGAATAAAAGCTGATACAGAGCTAAACTTTCCTAGGCAAAGAGAAGGGAGATATGAGACTTGGAAGAATGTTCAAGGGAAAGCTACAGTAAGAGTTAAATGTTGGAAAATAAGATATTCTAGAATCTTATCACTTTGTTCACTGTCCTTTTTCATACTCAGTCACTCTGTCATCCTCTCACCCATTCTCATTCTGCCACCATCTTTCCCCAGTCAATTGTCTGTGCAACCACTTGACACCCACTTCTGTTGGCTAAGACAGATACCCTCTCAACTATGTACCAGTGATCATTTGATAATATCTGAACCAGTATTAGTATGAATATAAACATGAGAAGATGCATATCTTTCTGAGGGACTGGCTTGGGAAGAGGGTATATTTGCATAAATATGTATGCATCATCATCTGAAGCTGTGATGGAGAATGGCTCTGTGTCATTGTATCAGTGCATCTGTAAATATGTGTCACACTATGTATGAAGATAAATATCTGTGATATATACTGACAATTTGAGCAGGTGGGGATCATGAGTCTATAAAGACTTTTTGTAGACACCTTTGAGAGGGTTAGAGGCTCAAAATAGCCATCCTAAGGCTAGGCCATGCGAAGTTAATGGTCAGTCTAATAAATGAGCTGGACATCTGTGCTCAGTTAAAAACATCTTCAGTAGAGACCAGAGTGTATTACCATCGATGAAGGAGAGGAAAGTGTTGTTTCTATATCTTGTTTACTTGTGTTTATAGTCACAGTTGCTAAATATAATAAGAAAAACAGCACTGAATTTAAAATTTCTACACCATAGGCTACATGAGAATGTGTCTCAAAAAAAAAAATCACAGAAAAACAGAGACAAAGACATATTGGCACATTCCTGTAATCTCAGCACTTGGATACTGCAAGTTTGAAGCTTGGCTGATCTATATAGCGTTCGGGTCCAGCCAGGACTGCATACTTTTTTTGAGACAAGACTCTGTGTCAAAAATAAGAAAACAGAACATGATTCCAAAACAAACACAAAACTAGAATAATTCTAAAAATATCTTATGTGGGTGTTTGAGTAAGTGTATTTTAATTTCATCTCTACTAAAACTACTTCCTAAGACTTAACCTGAATCCTTGTTTTTTTTCCCTTCAAGATTTCATCAATTTCTCTGGCTCTGCACTCATGTAGTATTAAGAGGACCTTGTGCCGGAAGATATTTTCTGTTATTGTCTTTTTAGTTTAAGAGCAAGTTTAACAAATAGAAAGTCCAATTATATGTGTTCTCACTTTTATGTTTTGAGATCGTTTTCCCCAGGTCTTTTAGTCACTAGTAACTGAGCTAAATCACTGTTGTGAGAACACTTCAAAAAATGATGCATGATTCAGGTTAATCTT